TTGAATGCCAAAACATGCTCATCGCCCCTCTACCGCCCAAAACATGCCCACCGCCCCCCTAGCCCCCAAAACAAGTTCACTGCCCCTCAGCATCCTCCCACCGCCCCCATTGAGAACCAATGCTGTAAAGCAATATTAAGTTTGACACAAAGCTGAGAGAACTGCCTTACAAGTATGTCATGTTAAAGAAACATGCCTGTTTTATAGCTTTTCTTATAGAATGAAGCTTAATAAAGGAAGTGCTTTATAAATAGAACAAACCAGTAAAAATAATTTTAAGATAATTTAAAATGTAAACTTCCATGCAGGGTAAACAAAGCGCACAAATGTCCTGGATATTTTAAAACAGAAGTATACAGCCTGAGGCCACCATGGTGGCATGCAGTCCCCAAGTACCGTGGGCATAATCCTACCACCTCTAAAATGTTATCAAGCTGTTATTATTAATAACAAGCATTATTATTATTATTATTATTATTAGTGTTTATTATTCAAAATGATAATGATAATGTATTAAATCTGTATGTCACCCAACTCTGGGCGGCTCACAACAATCAAACTACAGTACAATCAATAAAAGATCAATAAAATACAAAAGATGGTAAGTGCAACAGATCAGATGGACTAAAGCAAGGGGTCTCACTCTCCCTTGCCTAAAGGTCTGAGTGAAGAGCCAGGTCTTCACAGCTCTTCTGAACAACAGTAGAGGGGAGCCATCTGGATAGATGCATGAATGGAGAATATTATGTCAACTATGTTTCAATACAACACAAATGTAAATTAAATTAAATCAAATAAGATTTCGTTTTTGTTCTTTTTGATATGTATCCCCTGGGATATCACTTAAAAGCCCTTCTCTTGTGAAAAATTGTGCACTCTTAAAATTCTCTTTCATACTAATGGGGAAATATAGTTTATGGCTTGCATTCCCTCCCATTTCCCTCCTTGCCTATTAGGGAGCATTTCTGGGTATTTTGTCTTGAGAAACCATCTAACCTGCTAATTATTAGGATACTGTATAGCATTTACTCTCTCCAGCGTAACTAGCAGACACAGCAATGACCAGCCTGAGAGCTGGAGCTAGACTCAGAAATGATGGCAAGCATTTCCTCAAATACACGGGTCAAAATATTATTTACTCCCCATTTCCAAAAGGATTTCCTGACTACATGTTCACCTCTGGAAGCATATGGCAATCGCTTAGACAAGCAACAGGGAACAAAAAGAAAAACACACACAATACTAAGGACAACAGGTTTGAACAGATAGAAGAACATGGATCTAAAAATCACATACAGGCAATCATGATATAAGTTGCTGCCCTATTATTAATTCCCTATTCATAGATGACAAAGCACATTTAAGTATTCTCAATTATAAACATTAGAATATAAAAGGCATTAAAATCATTTGATTCTAAGGCTTTCACAGAAGTAGACAGATTCTTTATTATATGCAACTACCTTGGCAGTACAGAATTCTACACATCTTATCCAGAGTTCTAAATACCGTATTGTAGCATCCTTTCATTTGTCAATATAATGGCATGGTTTCATATGAGGTTTCAAGCACATCCATTCTTTGCAAGCAGCATGCCACTCACTTATTACCTTATAAGTATAGTTACAGAAAGCACATGAATGTACAATCTAAATGATCAAAAGAGAAATGTGGATGCATGTATTCCAAGGCTCCATTTCTAAGGTATCACCTTTTTAATCCTTAACTAAACAATGAGATCAAAATCACAACTAGTTCCAATAAAATAATATCCATGTTCCATAAATGTATATGCTTTAATATTTAGTAACATGGATTATTGTAGGAGTTCCTTGAATCCAGCTGGCATGAAGATCTACATTCTTCACAATCAAGTGCAGCAGTAGGAGAAAGTGAATTCTTTAGAACTATCCATAATCTACCCAAGTCTTGGGGCTGCTTTGCAGCCCCAAAACAAGTTACATTCACTACCAGGATGTAGCTCTTTTGTTTAGAATGCATATTCATTTCTCAAAATAAAGTTTCTCATCAATGCCAAAAAGTTCCACTTTCATTGCATTTGTCCATAGAACACTGATGCAACAGGCTATTCAATCATCCAGATGGTCTTTGGCAAACTTGATACAGGTGGCATTCTTCCATGCACACAACTCTTGTTCAGTGTTTTCCTTATGATGGACTCATGAACAATGCAAGAGTGCCTGCATACACATTGTTATCACCTTGAGGTTCTTTGCAACCTCCTGTAATAATGTATACTTCCCCTTGGAAAAGAATGAGTATGGTATTGCATTTTCCCATTTCTACATTATGTGCCTGATTATGGACTGATGGAGGCCACGTTTTGGTAGTGATTCTGTAGTCCTTACCAATCTCATGAGCACCAGCAAATCCTTTTTCTGAGGTCATGATCTCTTTTGATTGATGGAAAGTTCACTTTCACAAACCTGTGTTATGAAGATTCTGATGTGGCAATTAACACATGTATGTTTTTTAATAGGGGAGGGATACATCTCATTGTCATCTCCCAGACCTAACTTACCCAACTGAGAGAGGATATCATATACTTTTCCAAACAAAGACACTGAATACCAGCTCAATGTGTTAATAAACATATAACAGAATATAATTTGGGATGTTGTTAAATTTAACCAGAATCTCTTAATTTATTACAGGACTTAGATGAAGCTCTGATCACACTGTAAGACACCATGGTTCAGAATTACAGATAGTTCTAAAGGATTCACAAACTTCCCTTCACTACTGTGTGTGTGTGTGTGTGTGTGTGTATTTTTCACTCTTTCAAGAAGACTGAATGTAAGCCAATTTTTTTGTCCACTTCCAAGTAGTTATTTCTTCCTCTGCATGTCCATGTTTCTTATTTTCTTTTGAGATATAGCCTATTTTCACAAATTATAGGCTTGCGCTCATTACACAAGCTATATGACTTTATTGACTCCAAGCCAATTTCTACTTTGACTAAATTAACTGGGAATATAAGGCCCAGTTTCATGACATATGTTAATATTAAAGTAGCTTGATTAAAAGTTTACAAAAGCAGAGCATTTCCACATTAGAAAAAAGACTGCAAAGGTTTGGAGGTTTTATTAAAGCACTAATTACAATCTCTGAATTTAACAATATTCAAGGGATATAGGCAGAAAGTCAACTTTTCAATATATATTTTACTTACCAGCTTATCATTTTCATTAGGCATTTCAAATACACATCTCAATTTGGAGTCCATTAATTCCTCAGATTTTGCATCCTTCCACTATGACAACAATGAAATATATTAATGATGTTACTAGATGTCTTCAAAGAAATTTTCATAATATATAACCTCTGCTTCATATACTGGTTTTCAAGAACCAGCATGGCTTAGCAGGCAATTGGGTCTGAAAGTAGGAAATCTAGATTGAAATCCTTGTTGTGATATGTAAATCATTCCTCATCATGCATCAATATTTTTTCTAGTTTTGACTAGTGACAGCTTCCCTTTACATTTGAATACCAGAATAGGGATAAATACCAGAATAGGGATAAACCTACATCTGAAGCCATAGTTTGAAGTCTGCTCAGGCATGCACCAATCTTATTAACAATCTCCTAATTCAGATGTAAAGGGAACCTACATTTAATAAAACCAATGAAGTAGTTTATATTCATGCTATACTGAGAGGGGGAAAGGTGCTATGTACAGAAATATATATAAATATATTTGATTATATATGCTACCACACTACCTCTGAATTTAACTGCCAACACAAGGTTATTTCTAAGACAGCAGACAATATATATTTATGAATTATTTTATTAGGAAAGAAATTTGACGGCACATTCTTAGCAAGAGAGCCTCCAAAGTTGTAATAGATCACAACCTGTAAATTAGGAAGAAAATATAAAACTCTAAATTGTTGCAGTTCATATTTTTCTATAGAGCAAGAGAACTCATCAGCCATTTTGTAGTGATCCTCATGACAGTCTCAAATATTCAGGTATGTCAATACAGTAGATTCAAAATTGTTGAAGCTCCTCAAACAAAGTACTGAAAACACTAAAGCTGCTGCAAGAAAGAATGCTTTTCCCCCCAAAACAGAAGCCATCCCAATTGCCCTACTTCGTCTCTAAATGGAATGAACATTTGAAATCTTTCTCAGATATTATTTATCTGCCACTTTTTTAAAGCTAGTGAAACAGATTCAGAGAAGTTGGAAAACCTTTGAGATATATGAAACAAAAGGAAGCCCAAGGAGGCTGATTTCAAAAAGCCAGAGAAAGAATTCACACCTGTCCGTTTACTAAAAATTGAAATTGTAGATATTTACGTACCACTGCTTCCATATCTGTAATGTTTGGAGGGGCAAAGATCGTCTGTACCATAAACTTATGTTTACTCTTCTCATTTGGATCATAGTCAAAAGGCTGTAACATAACTGCATAATAGACAAAGTTTGTATTATATAAAAGTATGCAAACTTTTTCTTGTGAACGTTTTAGTATATTGGAAACTCAGAAAGTACTGTGTGTAGTTTGAATTTTTTTCAATAATCAAATTCTTCTATTTATTACAAATCAGTTGACCCTTATTTCCTCATAACAAGCTACACTGTAATTTGAAAAATAAGGTGTTATCTCAAATAATTGTCCTTTTTCTTTTAACAATTTCTACTCTGAAATGAATATAAATTTAGAACAGACACATAATATGAAGTTCCATTAAGAAATGGGGAGATTTTGTTAGATATTGTATTTAATGTTCTGAAGTTCATTAAAGATCATCAATAAATCTCAAATTAGATTCCAAAAAGGTTTGCATTTTTTCTGTTGAGGGTAGAATGTACCAGTCACTCTGCTGACAAATGCAGGGTGATGGAGAAAAGGAGAATCTTATTACATAAACAGAACTAAAAACATATTACATGGATGCAGCCTTTTAGCACGCATTTTATAAAGGGCCTGAGTTGTACTACTTCTCAGCCAGTTTATTTACTTTATACAACAATGTACACTTGTTGTTCTGATTAACAATTAGAAAGCAATGTAAAATAGAACAAAATACTCTCCCTCCCAAAAGCCCAAGCAGCTTCAACAGATAAAAATCAGAGTTCATATAATAATATAAACAGTTGCCTAAACAGGATAAATTTTGCCCTGCAGAAAGTATTACTCCTGGTTCATATATAATGATTAAGAAACAATCAAATGTAATTATTTTGGCTTGTCTGAAAGCATCTATTGTAAATCATGGTTTATTTATTGGGATTAGTTCACATACCACACTGAGCCAAAACTAAACAATTCACATTATAACTTTGCATTATCTGACAAGTCAAGTAAGGAACCAACTGACCCTTCCAATGCAAAAAATATTACTCATAATGTTATAATTATTAGATGAACTCACCTAGCAAGGCACTAGCCATTCATGCCCTCAATATTACTAGTGCTTTCTTCTAAAAATCCCACTGGCTAGTAAGCTAGCTTAAATGCTACAACTAGTTTCAATTCCTCCTCATGAGAAGGGAAGAACACATAAAGCGATAGGTACTGCTACATGGGGCCCTTGAATAACATTACTTAAGCAGGGTATATGCTGCATATATATTAAGGGAAGATGAACATGGTTTTAAAATTGGAAGAAGAAACATCAATAACTTGCGCTCTACTGATGACACTACACTGATAGACAAAAAATGCAAAAGATCTGCAAGTCCCAGTACTAAATCAAAGAGCACAGTGGAAAAATGGGACTAAAATTAAATATAAAGAAGACCAATCTAATGACAACAGATAGAACAACCAGCCTTAGAACTGACAATGAAGATTTTGAAGTGATGGACAGCTTCTGCCTTTTAGGGTCAACCATCAACAGTAAAGGAACAAGCAGTCAAGAAATAAGCCTCAGACTAGCACTTGGTAGAGCAGCCACGAAGGCCTTAGAAAAGATATTCAGATGACATGATGTGTCTATGCCTACAAAGATCAGAATCATGCAAACCATGGTATTTATTCCCTATGACACTCAATGGAAATGAAAGTTGGACTTTAAAGAAGCAGGATAGGAAGAGTATTGACGCCTTTGAACTTTGGTGTTGGAGAAGATTCCTGAGAATACTGTGAACAGCCAAGAAAACAAACCGATGGATCATTGAACAAATCAACCCAGGTACTACTTTGTACCTTCTTCTCTCTCGCCAACTCCACAATCAATTCGCTGGTTTAAAATATGGACTACAAATGCAAAACTATGATGAGAATGAGGCTCAGTATGCTCCCTCAATAGGACAATTATTCCCTTATTCAGTTTCCTCACACACTCTACACAGAGGATACAACTTTGGCATTTATGGACTCACAAAAAAAATTCCATCTCTCCATCCTCCTATTAAATAGGGGACAGCTCCAGTCAGCAGAATTCATTTGAAGTACCCATTATCCTTTTACAGCTGCTCTTTATACAGAAGAGTTCTAATACGTTGAACCTGATGTATTTATCTTGATTAAGTTCTGTCTACTTTGCCTATCTAATTTCAACTGTTTTACCTGAATTAGATTTTCTCTGCCTGGAACTGACCTTGCCAGATTGACAGTGGCTTCCCCTGTGAGCCTTAGATAGCTACAAAAATGGTGGATAGGGTGGAGGGAAGAATGCTAAATGCATTCACTCATAATTATCATGCTAACTTTAGCCCACTCATCTTAAATATTTCAACAGGAATAGACAAAGATGTTTTATTTTTGTCAATGACAAGTTCAAGGACATCTGCCATAATTTAGTAAAATAGAATTGATATTTTTGTTTTATGATTTAAGTTAGAATGCTGAACAAAAACAAAAACAAAAAATCTATTCCACTTTAACTAAAGAGCACTGCCCATGGGAGGAAACATGTAATGTACTACAAAAAGAGAACAAAAGATAACATAGATGCTAATTTTTATATTATAAAATGTCTTCATTAATCTCTGAATATAAAACTATTTTTTTAGAAAAACTAAAATATTAAGGCAGCTATAGTAGAAAAACATTAAATCACAGTACACTATCCAGAATAATTCTTTTCCTATTTCAAGGATTAAGAAAATGTTAGTGGCACCACCTTGTGGATTTGCACAGAACGATGATGAAGCACTAGCAGGATTATAATGTATTTGCCTGAAAGGAAGACAATTCTGAATTTAAAGTGATCTCGCCAAAAGGAACATAAGGTTAAGAAATTATAAATTCAGACAAAAGTTTTGGCAATGCACAGCTTCCCTTTCTTGTCATCCTAAAGGCTGCCAATTCCAGCAGAAACAGAAGCTGGAAATTCCTAGTCCCAATAAATGTATGCAAATGACAACCTGTTTATGAGTGGATATATGTATATCTGCATATATATTTGTC